AGTCTCCCACTCCTCATGACGACTTCACAGACGAGCTTTCTACTCTTACACTCCTACGAGTCGAAGTTAGTTCGTCACAGTCAGTCCGATAGCGATCATAATACATTAATATATATACCAATTAGTTACTTTCAAACACGACGGATCGCACTTGTAAAGCGCATAAAATGTCACACGACGAAGATTCCCAGAAGTGGATGAAAGATGTTACGTCAGGGATTATTAAGAATCTTGGACTGGACATCGAAAAAGTTCGGTACAAGGTATCTGAACCTACCAAGAAATTTACATCTACAATATATTACATACTCCTGCAGTTTGAAAACAAAACAAAGGAACAGAACAAGGAACTTTCTGTAATAGTGAAGAAAGTCTTGCAAACCTTTTCTCCGATATTGCGCATCGATCTTCAATTTCACAACGAAATTCTGTTCTATCAAATGTACACCCGACCGGACGAAAACTACCCGAGATGCCTCTACGTCGACGAACGGCCGCCAGCCGATGCGGTGATTGCCCTAGAGAACGTCAACAAACGAGGATATTATCCTTGTTCGTATAAGTGCAATGTTTCTTTAGAATATACATTGGCAGCGATGCGCGAGCTCGGACGATTCCACGGCAAAGGATACGCCATGAAGACGCTACAGCGGGACAAGTTCTTCGATATCGTGACGCGAATTGAAGAAGTTCGGTATTGCGGTACCGAACAGACAACGGAAAACAAATTCGAAATCATATGCAATAGTAATTCGACACGAGCAATAGAATATCTTCGCAATCACGGTCACGATACAGTTTTCTGCGATAAAATGGAAGCCTTGCTCTCGAACGCGTTTAACGAAGTGATGATGAAGACGGTAAAACCGCTGGAACCCTTGTCCACGTTGTGCCATGGCGATTTTACATTGGACAATATTTTCTTCAAGACGGAGGACGATGGACAATATCGTGCGATGCTGATCGACTTCGCATTGTTTAGATACTCAACGCCCGTTGTCGATCTTTCCACGTTCTTTTGCCTATGCTGTTCGAATGAAATGACGAAAGACAAGTTCTTCGAGATAATGCGAGTCTATCACGATGCGTTGAAAGAATACTTGTTGGAAGCTGGCGTTTGGGACATGGAGAAATATTCATACGAAGCTTTGTTGGACGATTACAGAAGAGGTGGTCTTTTCGGCTTTGTTATCGCGACCTTTTTTCTACCGGTAATATTGGGGTTTCATAAGTCAGAAATAGTGTTGTCCGACATGTTGCGTTTCGATGCGTTGGAACGTATGAAGCGAAAAAAGTACGATGACGAAATGTGTAAGATATTAGCTGACATGTTACTAAATCTGAGAGATTTTGGCTGTTTGAAACATATTTTATAGTCATGTGAAATAATTCTAACAAAGTATAGACCTATATATCGATTAACTGTGACGTATGTATCGAGATATTTTTAAATGATCACGCGTTAGGAACATATAATGTATAAAAGAGCTATGGCGATCACGGACAGATAGATTGTTAATATTATTTCGTGAGATTATGCCGGTACTATAGCGGCGTAATTTAGAATCACGAATAAGCACCTCGCACGAATTCCCTTTAAACCGACAGATTGCTTTTTCACACGAATAGATTAACATTTTTGCTTATAAATTTGTGCAGTAAAAATTTTCTCTATTGTCAAATAAAAATATCAAAAATATGCAAGTAAAGAGAAATATTTTTTTTCTCTTTTTATATTGTCTTCGCTAATGAGCACATTACATAAAAATTCATAAAAAAAATGCACTGAGTAGTGATTTCAAATTATATTACTATAAATAACACTGTCACGAAATAATATTACCCATGATCATTAGAGGTTTTTACGTGGTACATTACATTATCTTACAATTAGTATGCTTGCTACCAAATTGTCTATTCAAACTCCAGCAATTTAATTAAGCAGTAGCGTAATCATAAAAGAGAAAAGCATTATTTAATCTTCCGAAACAATCCTGCATTTGAAATAGAAAGGAAAAAAATTTAATTTTATATTCCCCGTGTATACGCCCATGCACGTACATTTCATAGTATACTCTTGTATATTCGGGTGTAAGTTTTAAATTTACTGTTTAAAATAAACCGTTCGGTAAAACAGAATATGGTTAACAGATTTAACGTACATCGCGGAAATGAAACAACGTGGATAAGAAGCAGATTTAAACTAAATCCCGCTTATATGTATGCGCGATACTCAAAACAGGCGCGGTATTGTGGCAGTGCCCTGTGCACATTGCTGAAATTATTCTTTCGTCCGTGCAAGTCCGGATCTGCCTTTCAAATAAAGAGGCGCCCCGTACGCTCCGAATAACTTTGTCATTTCCATATATTTTTCCAAGCTAGCGGTAGCATTTATCACGAAGCTAACTTACGCCGGAGGTTCATGCACAGTCAAATTTTCTTCTGTATTAGTGTAAAAAGTTAAAGAGCGATCCAGCAAAGTACTACAAGTCATATTTTATGACGTAGCTCTAGAATTATACTGTACATTCCGATTAAAGGAAATATTATTGTATATTGTAAGAATAAAAAATTAAGAATCCGTTTTATAGATATAATATTACATTTAACGTTTCATTTTTACCAATTGCACAACATTGCGAATATGATTGCGTAATAAATAGATGTGATTAGATACAAAATGTTAGATTAGTTACAGTCACGTATGTTTCACAATATTTTATCATGATCGTAACGCTAAGTCAAGATTGAAAGTCTTAATGTATTTTAAAAAGCTGATGTAACATTAACAAAAATTATAAGTACAAACATATTATTTTGAGAATAATTAAAAGTGTTAATAAAAAATGTTACAGTCGCTATATGGTACATGTACAATTATCCGCATCAGTTTATATAATTATATGTATAATTATTCTTTCATAAAAAATTTTAAAACTTCTGAACTTGGTCTACGATAAACTACTAGTTTAATAACCGATTTATATAGTGTGTGTACATGCTAATGTACAGTAACGTATTCATTTTTATCTATAATAGAATTTTCGTTCTTAATGTGTTTGCTTTCATTTTTAAATAATTTGTATTGCTGGCACAACAATATTCTATCTTGAGCTTGCGTCACCGAGAAAACAAGTTGCTAATATGACCAAATGTGTTTAGTTGGCAGTATTCTTTAATTGATATATATATGTTTTTAAGTTAAACGCACGTCATCTATCGAAACATATTGTTGTTTGAATTATGTAACAAGTAATTGCTTGACAGTCCGTGACCGCTGCATATACATATAATAGTTGACTCAAGAAATATGTTTTTAATTTATCTTTTTTTCTCAGTGCATAAATATATTTTTCATATAAGATAAAAATGTATTTAGTGTAGATTCATTGTGTTAAAATCTTGTATTGTGTTTGAGGAGAACATAACTGTTGCAAGTTGCTTTCATGATAATGGAATTTACGTAATGATAATACTTGTTAGAATTCTCGTTGTATAAAATTATTCTACAAATTATTTTCTTTTATCAAAAGCGATAATGTATGCAAAATACTTATTTAAAATAGATCAAAGTATGTAATGAATAAGTAAATAAAATTAAAGTTTCAGGGAAAATCGGATTTTACAGAGAGAATTTACAGTAATACAATTTTATACATAAATCAAAATCGTATTATAATCGTTCAAAAGACATTTGACGCTATCTAATTGTAAATACCATATTCATTGATTCAATTAAGAAGAGTTTTAGCTGCCTGAGAGTATTCAGAGTTTGTGTTGTATTTAGACTATACAACCTATTAAACATTCTAATGGTAGAAAATGCTTCGTCGATTGCTTTGAGCGAACAACGCCGTTACAACAGTTCGAGAAGCCACCAATCGCCAACGTTAACGCTCCCTCGTCGTCTTCGCATAGTTGTCGAAGCGTCGCCCGGGATAAGTTTGATCGTTAAGGCCAAAGAATGCGACACCGTATACATCGCCTAGCACGAAACTTTTCGAGGGCCGCCTGGAGCGAGTTTAACAATCGTCGAACTCACCGAATAGATGCGATATTGGGAAAAACAGGCGGGGTACGTATCCCGCGATGGAGACAGAGAGAGAAAGAGAGGGAGAGAGAGACGAGCGAGGCGGAAAAACACAACGAAAAACGGTGAAAGGGTTAGAGAAAATCGGGGTAAGGAGTAACAGGAGCAAGCTGGAAAAGAACAAAGTACGAAACGGGAACACTTTAATCGGACTGCAGTTACGAGTTCGAGTAGAGCGTTGTGCCCACCACCAAGTTCCTCGATAGTCTTCTATCGATGGAGCTCGAGGATGAGGACGTTGCCGCTCTCCAGCGATTCCAAAGAAAGTGATTCTCGTAAACAATCGTTTGTCACTTCTCTGCAATCTTCTTGAAGCAAATCAAAAGTTTGTATTTCCCATTTTCGCCAATGACAATTAGATAATTGACCAAGTGTCGTAAAAGATTAACACAAATCGCCAAGTTTTATATCGTATTCTTTAATATGTTCGTATTAATATGTTTTATTATTACAGTTCTCATTTATCTCATGTGCGAAACACATATTTCGAGCATATTCCGATGATCAGAGTTTGACACTTAATAATAAACTGACAATGAGAAGCAGTTGTCTGTATTCAGTTGTTAACTGGAAGAAGAAAAATTAATTCTAGCTTTACTTAGATTAGTATTTGTTAATTTTTTCTATGGTTTTATATATGACAGATTAATGATTGTGCACGATGTCTTTTCAATTAAATATATCTGTATCTGTATCAAAAAGACAAATATCCTTATTCAGTAACAATAGTATAAATATGTGTCCTTATTCAAAGCATTTTCACTCGAACGGTTTTACCCGAGACATCGATATCTCTCTAGTCAAGTCCAAATATTTATACAGACCGATATTACCGATGCCTACTGATACAAAGCAGTCAAGAGATATCGGACAATGACCTACGACAAATAAAGAATAAATTTCTTTTGTACGCCGCAAATAGAGGTGCACTGGTGAGGATTCTGTTTTCATTTGTTCACTGAGAGAAAAAAATAGTTGCAGTTACCACAATCTCACTATAATTTATAGTCATTTTTGGAGCCAGCCATATTTTTATAATTCTTCCAACTACGTAAGTTATGGTTGACCTAACAATATATTATAGTTCTCATAGACACAATATTGGTCCATGCAACTTATGATATGGTTGTCATAAACCAAAACGAGCTTTTAATTTGGTTAGGTATACTATAAATATTGCAATAACAACCACAAATAAAATTTCGAATAACTATATGTAATAGTAATTTCATTATATTCATTGGTTACATCACGTTGCACTCATAAAGAATAGTACAAGAGAGCATCTTTCAAAGAAAAGATAAGCAATCTTATACGAATGCGTAAACGTAGACGTATTAATAACACCCTAAGCAACTTGTTACGTACGATAAAGTTTTGTGCCGCG